TCCATCCATCCATGGTTTTGTGTGTCTTGAACCAGGTACAGCAAATGTTTTCTAATTTGCATTTTAATTTAGTTATTGGACTGGATATCTTAAACCCAGTACAGGTTTTGGAATGTTTAATAATAATAATAATTCCTTACATTTATATAGCGCTTTTCTGGGCGCTCAAAGTGCTTTACATAGAAGGGGGGAATCTGTTCAACCACCACCAGTGTGCAGCATCCACCTGGATGATGCGACGGCAGCCATATTGCACTTGAACGCCCACCAAACACCAGCTTATTGGTGGAGAGACAGAGCGATGAAGCCAATCAGTAGATATGGGGATGGTTAGGAGGCCATGACGGTCAGAGACCAATGGGCGAATTTGGCCAGGATGTCAGGGTTACACCCCTACACTTTTTCGAAGTGAAACACAAAAGGTCTGGACCTCGGTTTAACATCACATCTGAAAGACGGTGCTTTTTGACAGTATAGTGTCCTCATCACTACACTGGGGCATTAGGACCCACACAGACCACAGGGTGAGCACCCCCTGCTGGTCTCACTAACACCTCTTCCAGCAGCAACCTAGTTTTCCCAGGAGGTCTCCCATCCAGGTACTGACCAGGCTCAACCCTGCTTAGCTTCAGTGGGCAACCAGTCTTGGGCTGCAGGGTGATATGGCTGCAACGTTTGAGCTTAATTATGACTTCTGTTTAGACTATTCTGTCTTAAAAGTGTTTTTCCCCCTCTTAAACCAGAATGGATGTTTGTAATTGTGTGTTTGTTCTTTTGTAAATGTTGGGTTTAAATCAAGTGAAAAAAAAACAACAACTGAAAAACTGAAATAGTTAAAGGGATAGTTCACCCCTTTAATGACAATTGTCATAATTTACTTGGCCTCATGTTGTTCCAAACCAGTATGAAATTGTTCTGAAACAATTAAGGCCAATTCTTTAATTCTGAATGTTTCACAACCCTGGAGCATGTACACTCTGCACACATTATCTTAATTTTTAAACTTTGCAAAACATAAAATAGTTTATTCAGTCATTTGACACACGACTTCATATATGGTGTGGCTAGAAGTCACCTATCAGCCCCATTGGCAACCTGTGGTCAGCTCAGCCTGGCCTGGAAAGACTAAAGCCATGGAGACAAGAGGGAGAGAGTGAAGGAATGGGAGTGAGAGAAAAAGAAAGACGAAGAGAAAGAAAGTGACGAAAATATCCCGGAAAGTTGCTCTATAATTGGCGCAGTCTGTCAGAGCCCTATTTTATGTGCATGAGCAGGGCAGGGCAGCCATCTCGTCCCCACTGAAACCCAACACTTACAGGAACAGTTCCTCATCCCTCCCACCTCCCAGCAGAGGAGAGCAGACTCCACAACACTCTGCTCCTCACTGCAGGATTACTGTATGTGTGTGTGTGTGTGTGTCATCACACCTGTGTGTGACCTTACCTGGAGCTTTATTTCAAGGAGGATGCTGCTTTGAAACTTCAGGTGTCTGTGAGGTGTGTTTCAGGAGGAGGTTGAAGAAGATCTTCTTGTTCCCACGAATTGACATCACAGGTAAGAGTGAGGTTTATCATGCATATCCCATCACTACACATGTCTCTGTTATAGTGTTTAATTGTTGATATTTTATGCTAGAATATTTAGCCATCATGTCTTGATAGCTCAGTCTGGTCTTCAACTAGTGCTTTCTTTGTTCTTCCACTTTTTTTGGAGAACTTTAGAAGAATGAAAGGCTGGTTTTTACATTTCAGAAGGGGAAGAGTGAAGCTTTCTGGTTTATTCATCTGCAGGTTGCTCCCATGCTGGTCGTTCAGCAGAGATTTGGAGTTTGGCCGGAGTGTTAGTGGCGATAGATGCACTGAAAGGTTTCAGAGACTCAAAACTAGAAATGTACCTGCAAATGATAAAACATTTTAAAAACTGACTTTTGATGGTTGTGAAAATTGCAAATTGATAAATAATGAAATGACATAGGTAAGTAGGTCAGTCAGTTGGGTTGGTGACCAACATATTGTAGGCTATAGAGCTGATAAATAAAAAATAGTATATTATACTGTACAGCTAATAACTAAAAGGTGGTTGAAGAAGGTTATAGAGCTGGTAACCAAACGACTATAAGTTATTGAGATGGTAAAACAAAAACAGTACTGCATGTTATACTGTATGTCTAGTAACTAAAAGTTGTAAGTTCGCTGATGAAGAGAATGCAGGTCAGCTGGTGACCAAAATATTGTAGGTTATAGAGCTGGTAAACCAGAACAATGGTATGTTATACTGTACATCTAGTAACTAAAAGGTTGTAAATTGGCCGATGAAAAGAATGCAGGTCATAAAGCTGGAAACCGGTAATAGAGCAGGTAAACCAAATACAGTATGTTATTCTGTATTCCTAGCAACTAAAATGTTGTAAGGTGGTCAATGAATAGAAATCAGGTAATAGGCCTGGTAACCAAATGATTGTAGGCTGCAGGGAAGATAAACAATAGGTTTTGGAGCTGGTAATCGAAAGGTTATAGGCCGTGGGACTGGTAATCCAAATATTTATAGTACTGGTAAAGTAAACAGTTGTAGGTTGTCAGGCAGGTAAATAAAAGATGGTCGTTCAAAGGGCTGGTAACCAAATGATTACAGATTAGTTAAAGACTGAAGATTGAAGAACATTTTAATAACCCAAAGAGAAAGAACCCTTTTCCACAATAAAGAACCTTTTGGGGATATGGAAAGGTTCCATGGATGTTAAAGTTTCATAATGGAGCCATAGATGCCTATTAAGAGCCTTTATTTTTAGACTTTAGGGCTGGTAAACAGACGGCTGTATGTGACCATGACCTTTGTGCCTAAAGGTCTTACCTTAAGCCCATGGTATACTTTGGCCATCTGTGTGACATAATTTTCATCATCAGGAGGGTCTGTGGATGTCCGTGCCCACTTTACGCATTCAGCCTAATTTTTGTGTCTTCATGGACTAGGTTAGAATATAATTGCTTCTGGAAGAGTATAAAAAAGCAACTGTGTTGTGCATGTGTCAAACTCATCTATCTGTGCTCATTTGCAGTTGAGTATACTTTGAAAGCTGTGCAGACACAAATGAGCATGAGACGGAGTGGAACGCGGAAAACAAGTTTACCCAGGCCTTTAACCCCAGGTTCTTTCTGGACATTGACCATATAATGTGTATTTTAAAATGTGTTTTAACCAACATTTGTAGCAGTGAACAGAAGGGCTAAAAACAGAAATGGGTGTTCACTCCTACAAACATTTCATTTTAGTTATGAAAATCATTTTGTTATTTTCATCTCTTTTTAACCAAGTCTATTAGTTTTAGAAAGCAGCAGGCAATTTAGGCTAATAACTTAACCAGAGGGCTGGTAAAACAATGTGCCCTTTAATACTTTGGACTTCTGAACTGACTGTAAGAAAACAGAAGCCTTTGCAACTCTGAAATTTGATGTCCATAGAGATACCAGCTGGTATACCACATCAGAATGAAAGGAGGTTACGGGTGGCTGTTTCTTTCCACAAAACATAAATGTTGTTTACTGCAAATATATAAATGCTCTGGTTATACTTTGGGGCAGTAGTTAAATGAATGCGGGATACTTTCACAGCATCAAAGAAACATAAGAAAACCTGCTCTGGTCAGAGGGTTCAAAGAGCTCATCGTGCTGAGAGATACTGTGGGCCTCTAAGACCAAAAGCAATGAGCAAGCAAGGCTTTCTGGGTCATATGATGATAATGCAAACCTTCATGAAAAAAGGAGGGAGAGTTATTGAAAGCAACAAAGAAAAGACACTGGATTGTGTGAGAAGAGGCGTCAGGCCGGCAGTTCACGAGGAAAAGGACTGTTTTCCTATTGGCCTGACAGATCCAAAAATGGGCAGTTTTTCATTTCTAAATGCATCAACGAGTACTGGAAAGATATAAGGAGGACTTTTAACTCACTAACTGAATCAATTGCATTTTTACAAGGCATCAGAGTCCCAGTTCGCTCTATTGTCCGTGATGAAGGTTTTGCAAAAAGAATGGTAATTTTATGCACCTGAAAGTTAGACAGCTTAGATGAAACTGCCTGTAAGGATGAGATGCCACATCATCAAGGCTCTGCAAACCATAATTCAATGCTTCCCAAAGTTGCTCCCTCGGTCCCTGATGATAGTGTGCTCCCTGGGGCGTACTATACACCACTAAATCAGAAGAACACACTATTTACACCGAAACATCAGTTCAGCTTAGCCAGAGGAGTGTGGTTAGTCACCAGTGGTGGAATGTATAGTTAAGTGAATGGGGGAATGAATTACGCTTGGACGTAAAACTTTCTTGGATTTTTCTTTCTGTTACCCCTCCTTGGTTACTCTGGTTTGCTGATGGAGACCTGCATTTCATGATGTGTTGTAATATTATGCATTTTTCCTAAATACATATTAAATACGTATCACGTGCATGCTAGAACTTTTGCTAATGTATATGTCTATCAGAAAACAAGCATTATTTCTTCAGCCTGCAGTACATTTCCAGAGATGTCCATCACACATATGGATGAAGGATGAATCTCATGGAAACATATATAGGTCACACTTCATACCAAAAATAAGATTACAATTATATGATATAATAATATAAAATTATACATATAATAATATACAATTATAATCATTAAAATTAGTAGAAATGTATAATTAATGTATTATTTTTTGTTTGTTTTTATAAACAAAATCTTAATTAATTTATTATATTGATATATTTATTTAAGGTTGTAATATATTTAAAAATATATATTTTATATTATTTAAAGTATTGTGGAGAGTGGTGTGTTTAAAGGTAATGAAAAACAATGATTTAGTCTAAAGCTTAAAATGGTAAATAGCCCTGCATTCACTTACATACTGTTTTTATGAGCATGGCTCATCTTGTTGTCAGCTCAAACTGAAACGGCAACTTGGAAAGTACAAATCAGGATTAATGGGCTGCACCGGCAGTACATCAGTTAGTGCAGAGCTAACATGAATCATACACTTCACTTCTGTTTGCAATCGTTCAATGTAACTCAGTTCAGAGTCCAAATGACTGATCACCTCACATTTGTTCTCATGTCTCCACAGGAGCAACAAGTTGATGATCATCGCACCTTAGCGGGAATATCAGCAAACAACAGCGGAGAAGGAGATGAAGTTTCGATTTGGGCTCAGGATCTCTTTGGTCCTGACCATACTGGCTCTGACTCTGTACGGAGGCGGCGTTGAAGGACAAAGGGCAGGTGAGGTCACATACTAGCCTAAATATACTGTTTTCATGACCCCTAACCACATCTCTGTTTAACTTTAGCTTGGTGGTTCTAATTTTGACTTTCAGTGAGTCTGTTGTAATGTGTGCAGACTGAGGTTTTGAACCTGACATACTAGTAGCTTCGAGTTCTTTGCAAAATTCAGCCCATGTATTATCCAACCGGACTATGGCGGAAACACAAACCTCATAAATCTGTGGCTAAACTGTATACACACAGTCTGTAAAATGTAATGTCCTTTGTCCCAGGTTGCAAGAACGTCCACTATGATCTGGTATTCATTTTGGACACCTCTTCCAGTGTGGGCAAGGAAAACTTTGAGAAGATCCGGCAGTGGGTGGCAAACCTGGTGGAATCTTTTGACGTAGGTGCGGAGAAGACGCGTGTAGCCGTGGTTCGTTACAGCGACCGTCCTACCACCGAATTCAACCTGGGCAGGTACAAAACCCTCGGAGAGGTCAAGCGTGCTGCTGGGAACATTCGCTACCTGGGTGGGAACACCAAAACTGGAGATGCCATCAGCTTTACCACCAACAGCATCTTCACAGAAAGGGCAGGGGCGAGGCCTGCCAGTAAGGGCATTCAAAAAGTGGCAATCTTACTAACGGATGGCAGGAGTCAGGATTTTGTTTTGGAGCCATCAATTGCTGCAGCGGCTGCTGGTATCAGGTTGTTCGCCGTAGGGATTGGGGAAGCACTGAGAGAGGAGCTGGAGGAGATTGCGGCAGAACCCAAAAGTGCTCATATGTTCCATGTGACGGACTTTGACGCCATTGACAAGATCAGGGGCAGGTTGAGGAGGAGACTCTGCGAGAGTGAGTATTGATGAGTTTGATTTTGCACCATGTACATTCTTAAAAATAAAATAAAGGTTCCAAAAAGGGGTTTTCACAGCAATGCCATTGAACAGGTGTCCAAACCTGTTCCTGGAGAGCCACTGACCTGCAGAGTTTAGCTCCAGCCTTAATAGAACACACCTGAACCAGCTAAGGTCTTCAGACTCACTAGAAACTTCTGGGCAAGTGTGTTGGAGCTGGTTGAAGCTAAACTCTGCAAGACGTTGGCCTTCAAGTACCAGGATTGGAGACCCCTGTCATAGAACAAGCCTGGAAAATTCTGGTCCTCGAGATCCATTTTAGCTCCAACCCTGATCAAACTCACCTGCCTATAGCTTTCTTGTAAACCTGAAGACTTTGATTACCTGGTTCAGGTGTGTTTTATTACAGATAGAGTTAAGCTCTTCAGGAAAGTGGGCCAAAGTTGCCCATCCTGCCTTGGAAGAACTATTTTGGTTCACCAAATAACCTTTCAGTGAACAGTTCTTAAAAGAACCATTTATCAGTGTGAAGAACATTTTGATAATCTACTCCAACCCTGATCAAACTCACCTGCCTATAGCTTTCTTGTAAACCTGAAGACTTTGATTACCTGGTTCAGGTGTGTTTTATTACAGATAGAGTTAAGCTCTTCAGGAAAGTGGGCCAAAGTTGCCCATCCTGCCTTGGAAGAACTATTTTGGTTCTCCAAATAACCTTTCAGTGAACAGTTCTTAAAAGAACCCTTTATCAGTGTGAAGAACATTTTGATAATCTAAAGAAACTTTTTCCACTACAATTTAACTTTTGTGCAGTAGAAAGGTTCTTGATCAGGGGTGTCCAAACCTGTTCCTGGCCACTGACCTGCAGAGTTTAACTCCAACCCTAATTAAACACAACTGAACCAGCTAATCAAGGTCTTCAGACTTGCTAGAAACTTCCAGGCAAGTGTGTTGGAGTTAAACAGGACTGGTCACCCTGCCTGTTCTTGACTGAACTGTAGATGCCAATAAAGAAACTTTAGAGAGGACTTCCATTACACAGTCAGATATAGGTGGGAGTTGACATAACATGTAGTTGACTTGACAGTTAACTAAAAACATCAGTCATTTAATCTGCTTTTGATGGCACACATTTCCGACTTGACAGTTAACTAAAAACATCAGTCATTTAATCTGCTTTTGTTGGCACACATTTCCATTCACAAGAAGATCTGTTCTGTGCCATACAAGACTTGTTGGACAGGAACTGGAAGCTATTTGGCCCGGACATTTTTGTGGTTTCTTGTCTCGGTGAGCTCTGAGTAAAGAGGTGTAGTAAGTACAAGAGAGCTCAAGTGCTTTTCCAGATCACATCTGCTCCGCAGGCAAAGATAACCTAAAAGTACATGTGGGATAGTCTTTGGAGGCCATTACAAACAACAAGCTTGCATTAAAACTATGAATATAGATTCAAAAATACATAAACCCAAACCGTTGAGGTATGTGGCCTTTATTGACCGTCCAAATGGAAATTATGTGTACGCATAGTATGTTTTTAGTGCTGATGGATGCTTAGCACACTAGACTTGACATTCCTCACTAAAATTAGTGAGAGTGGGAGAACGACGACACCTGAAGCTCTTTAGTTTGAAGTGGAAATCTGAGTCCGTAGTAGCACTAAAGCTATCCAAAAACTCTTGTGTAGTAAAATTTGTATTAAAACATGACACATTTTGTTGAAAGCACACTCTTTAAACAATCATTGGTATTTGAAGAGGTTGTAACACAAGCCTTTTCCGATGCCTTATTTAAGTCAGACAACCTTGTGAGAAGATAGGGAACCACTTTGACTTGGCAGGGTGATGGAGAGATAAAAGAGAAAGAGATAAACTGATTCATTGTAAACCCAAACCTTGACCCTGCCCTGATTCCAACCAAAAGCCCTCTTCTGAATGGCTCTAACCACATACATGACTCAGTGTGCAGATCAACTTGACGATCTCACTGCCAGCTATGGACTTTGTTGTCCCATCAGGGATTATCCTTCAAGCATTTAGAAAGGCTGAAACTGCATATCAGGTCCAATTCTGTTATAACCAAGATCATTTGGCACTAGCGTTGGCGTCTAAGAACACTGGTGGCTAGAAAACATGGCATCTCTAAGGTCCAAGTTATTTTTTGCCATGAAAATTACAGTCCTAATGCTTCAAGTGGAACAGGGCTCCACAGTACTGTTTTTACTTTTTAATCTTTGGCTTTAATTTGTTTTATGTGAAAAGATCAAAACATTACCTCTTTATGGAGCGCAATTAGTATCATTTTAATTTTGTAAAAATTATTACCCATAATGCATTGTTTCTAACATATATATATATTGCATTGTGGCATACATGATTCAAATACATTTTATTTTTATCCATTTAAATTGTACGTTTTTGTACAAAATTTAAATTTTTTAAATAAATAAATAGTTTTAGACCAGGATGTTACAGTAATGACAAAATATCATAAAAATAATGCTATAATACAAACATTTGCATTAAAGTCCTTATTGTTCTTTCACTGGGCCATTTTTTATCATACTTGAAATTAATGAAAAGTGTGTGTTTGACTGGGTAGTTTCATCACTTAGTGTATCTGGGCTTTGGTTCATGTCGGTGGTCCACCCATGGCCACAGCATGCCAGATCTGTAATCAGTGGTGGGACGCTGCTAAACAGAACAGCAGTGCACTGTAATAGTGTTGGGTGTGCTAATTTCCTCATGTTTGCTTTAGCACCCTAAATCTGGTTTTGATTAACTTAATGGGCATTTCAAACAGGAGAGAAAACATTTTATTAAGCCCTTTCCCTTCTTGTGTCTCTGAGGATAGCTCGCATACTTGCCTGGAGGATTCAGTTATGCTATCCACAAATATGAATATTTTGTGTTGGACACAATAATGAAATGGGATTGTTTCTGTATGCCTAGTGCATCCAAGCAAACTTGGATGTGAGGTGTTTCAGTTGCCGATACTGGCATTCTGAATGGTTTTAAATGTGTTGCTATGTGGTTGCTAGGGTGTTTTGTTTTCTCACTGGTTATTTGAGTACTTTAAGTTAGCGCAAATATACAGTTGGTAATAGTTTTACAAAGTCCTCTATATGACACAGCACTTTCTAAAATGTTGCATCATTCTCCAGCCTGAAATGTCAAGGTGATTAATTGTTGATTTCATTGATCAGGCGTTGCCAGTTGGGCCCTTTTAAGTATGAATAATGTCTGATCTTTTAAAATAATCTTTTATAAACTGACTAAAATCTTAACATGAAATAGTGCAAATTGTCCTGTGCGTTTGCATTCATTACATCGTTAACTAACAGCATCTGGAAACGCTTTACAGGTGCAACATGATTTATATTCAGTTAAAGTCATTTTACCAACTGATTATCCTTAGCATCTCTATGATTTTTATGTGATCCAATCACGATATGAAGTGCTTTAAGAAATAAGCAAGGGACAAACAAGAAAATAAATGAAAAAGTCTTTGGAAAAACAATGTGGAAATGCAGCAATCTGAAGGCTAAGTTCTGCTCAGTCCATCATTTTAGTTTCATGGCCACTCTCTAAATTACAGCCTTTATGCCACAGCTGAAGAAGTTGCCCTCGATAGAGCGCAGTTAGAAATCACTCATTTAAACAATGACGCACTCCTGGCTTTAGATGGCTTTGTCATTTCACCAGGCAAAGGAAATGGGTGTCTCAAAAACAACCCGTTATGTATGACCACAATTTGTTAGTTACTTGTCATTTAGCAGCATGCTAATAGTGGGGTCAGTCCCCCAAAATAAACTATGAGGTTAAATGCACAGTTCAATTGTGAATCATTTGAGTCAGATCACTTCAATGAATCCACTGATACAGCCATTCTAAATGATTCATTCATAAATCGCGAGTTCCACTCACAGTCTGAATGTAGGCTACACCATTAACTTTGCTTCTACAGCTAACTCTAAAAGCCTACCAACTAATTTAGTTTTCTGGCATGACTAAGAACTAGTAGTAGTTAGTTAGCAACCTACTTTTTGTGTTTTAGAAAATTTGAGGGAACAACATTACCTGTTTGAAGCAATACAGAAAATTTCTCAGCATATTAGAATGATTTCTGAAGGATCATGTGACACTGAAGACTGAAATTCACGGAAATTCGTACCCGCTCAAACTTACTAGCCTGGGAATGAAACAGAAGCCATTCGCTTTATTAGATTTTCTGTAACACATTTCAAGGTAAAAGATAAATAAATACCAAGCGGCAACCTTCCGATCTCTCTCGTGAAACCAACACGGAAGTGACTAAAACTGCAATTCATCGACTGGCCGCTAGAGGCTGGCTCCAAAAGGGAGTCAGTCCCATAGACTCCCCATGTTAAAATGGCCAACTTTACAGCAGAAAAAAATATGTTTACAGCCTGGTACAAAAAGTGGTTTTGGTCTATATAGCTAATTTTGCCCTTCATGACATCTGTGAGGGGGGTGAATTATTTTATAACTCATCCGTTTAAATTATATTAAACCTTAAAGTTCTGCATAATTAAGGGCGTGGCCACTTGAGTGACAGGTGGATTATCTCTTCGGAAATCTACGGGTGACGTCACGGACACTACGTCCATGTTTCTATACAGTCTATGATAAATACAGTTGCTTTCCAATATTAAAAAAAACTGTTATTTTAAATTGAAATATTATTTCACAATATCACAGTTTTGTTGTATTTTTGATTCAATAAACACAACCTTGAGTATAAGAGACTGCTTTCCAAACTTTTGGTATTGTAAATCTGCCAACGATATGTGGATATCCGCTGCACTGGTAACATAACTTGGCTCACATAATGGATACAACACAAATATAGACAGTCAGGTGCTCTTTTCTCCAACCTTTATTTATTACAGAAAGACAGTTTCTTTGGGACGGGGATGATGGTGGAGCGTTTGAAGCAGGCAGGGATCCCTGGCGCACATCATCCTCACTGATCTGAAAAGGAGTGGGGGAGAGGGGGGTTGCAGGAGGTGTTGATGGTTGTGTGGAGAGATGTTCAGAGTGGGTGTGGGGTGTTAGACTGGGAGTTTCAAATCTACAGTAAAACTCATTGAGGTCTTCAGCAAGTTGTTGATTGGCCTCAGTGCTGGGGGATGGTGTCTTGTAGTTGGTGATGTCCTTCAGGCCTTTCCACACTGATGCAGGCTCATTCGCAGAAAACTGGTGTTCTAGTTTTTTAGCGTAGTTCCTCTTGGCCACTCTAATCTCCTTATTCAGTGTGTTTCTGGCCTGATTGTACAAGACTCTGTCCCCCCTTTTGTAGGCGTCCTCTTTGGCCTGACGAAGATGACGAAGTTTTGCTGTAAACCATGGCTTATCACTATTGAATGTTAAATGAGTCCTGGTAGGGATGCACATGTCTTCACAGAAACTGATATATGATGTTACAGATTCCGTGAGCTCGTCCAGATCGTTGGTGGCTGCTTCAAAAACACTCCAATCAGTGCAGTCGAAACAGGCTTGCAAAAATGTATCCCTGGGTGGGCGGCTGAGCTCTTTATTTTTTTGGCGGTCATGGTGATGTTTGTATCGGGCTGGGACTCGCTCGGGGGTGTGGGGGTTTGGGAGAGTCACGCTGAGGACACTGTATCGGACAGAGATGTAATTGTGTCAAGTGACCCAGCCTCTGTAAAGTGGACAGCGCTACAAAGCGCTTTTTATAGGAGCGATTAAAGAAAATTACAGGGTCTGATCATACATGATTGTCAGGGGCACGATCAGCCGCTGTGGTTTGGGCGTCTGACTGCTTCGTGCCAAGAGTGTGTGCATGTGTGGGAGAGTAAGAGAAGGATTAAAAAAAACAAAAAAACAACATTAAAATAATTTAATCAATGGAATATTTTGGTTTTATAGTATGATTTTTGTGCGTTGTTCTACTAGTGAGTGAAAAGCCATTTAGCCTTTTCAGGATGAAATGGGAAACTTGGAGTAGGCCTAATTGCTGTAACGTCATTTACACATCATTTAGCCTACTTTAAATTTGAATGTTCCAAAATATTCATAACCAGTTTCTAATCTGAGACTAATTCCCACTCACTTGCTCTATTTTCAGGTTGGGCTGAGTTAATATAGGTGAAGCCAATGTTAGTTAAGCAATTTTACACCTGAAAACCTAAAACCAAAGTTTGACCACTTGGTGTCATTGTGCCTGTCCAGAATAGTTCAGTCAAAAATAAAAATAATTTTATTGTTACTTGCCTTCATGCCCTTTCAAACATTCATGTATGTATCGTTTATTTATGAGAAAAGACAAAAGTAGATTTGTTTCCATGTTTTCAAAGTATGCAGCAATATTATCCACATCTGTCAAATTCCAAAAAGTACCATAAATGTGACCCTGGACCACAAAACCAGTCTTACGTCGCTAGGGTATATTTGTAGCATTAGCCAAAAAAACATTGTATGGGTCAAAATGATCGATTTTTCTTTTATGCCAAAAATCATTAGGATATTAAGAAAAGATCATGTTCCATGAAGATATTTTGTAAATTTCCTACAGTAAATATATAAAAACTTAATTTTTGATTAGTAATACGCATTGCTAAGAACTTCATTTGGACAACTTTAAAGGCGATTTTCTCAGTATTTAGATTTTTTTGCAACCTCAGATTCCAGATTTTCAAATAGTTGTATCTCAGCCAAATATTGTCCTATCCTAACAAAACATACAACAATGGAAAGCTTATTTATTCAGCTTTCAGATGATGTATAAATCTCAATTTCAAGAACTTGACCCTTATGACTGGTTTTGTGGTCCATGGTCACAAATTAACTTTTACTAATATACTAATTTAAAAGTAAACTATGTTCCTCTAAAAATAACATGGTTCTCGTGGGTGATTCAGATCTGGCACACAACGTTTGCCAATCAGATCACCTGTACATCATTTTCTGTACTCTTTTTTTTTTCCCCAATAAAAGTGACAAAAACTAAACAAAAGCAATAAGCACTCATCTAGTATCTAGGCTAATATTAGCATCCTTCCTTAGCACTAGCAAGTTCTTCTCTACAAATAGCACATTCTCATCACAGATGCCGTAGTAAAGCAAGTCTGCTGGTGTTGCGTTTCCTCCTGTCATCACTGCTGTCACTAGCTATGCATCGCTATTTGAAATCTGCTTGTTTGTACGTCTTAAATTATCACCGCTGTGACGTTAGCATAGCAGCACTTCACCAAACGCTAAGCTCACTGGACCAATTCGTAACTTTGCCCATGTCTGTGTGCCAGCATCCTAGAGTCATAAGTTATGCCACCATGTCTACACTGGAGTGCTTGGAATTGACCCTCTAACAGTCTGTCTTCAAGCAAAGAGAGGAAGATGGATAATATTACAGTGACAGTCACGCTCAACTGTTCATTTCCTTCAGCTGCCAGTAAAATCATACCTCTTCAAAGTCATGAATGTTTACTGCTCAGAAATGTAAATTATGATGATATAATAAATATTGACTCAAACAAGACCATTTTTTTCATACTGAAAACATGATATGTAGATATAATTTGATAACGTATGTGTGTGTATATATTATTAATATGTATACTATTCGTATACGTGTATATGTCCACTGTTTGGTTACAAAAATTCTTCAAAATGTTCTTTTGTGCTAAAAAAGAAAAAGAAAAAAAAAAAAAAAACTCATACAGGTTTGGAAGAGTGGATAGAAATAGAAAGTCAAATCAATTGGTTTTGTAAAAATATGATGTTCCTATTGACAGACTTTGGTATCTTGGCAAATTTGAGCATATTTCCCAAGATGCCAAAGTCTGTCATCAAAAGTCATAAATGTCAATAGAAACATAATATTTTTACAAAACCAATTGATTTGACTTTCTATTTCTATCCACTAGCTTCTGAGACTCAATAATAAGTTTGTCTTTTAAACTCTGCTGTCTAACAACAAGATATTGAAATATTAAAGCACATTTATGTAATTTTGTGCATTTTTTTTGTTTGTTTTGGAGCCCCCTACAGTTAAGTGACGGGATTTTCCTGCCGTAAATACCGCACTGTCGTAATTATAGCGCCTATCTGTAAAAGTGCATTTGTTGCTGCCGGAAACCAATCCGCCCTTTTCGCGGAATTTCGTACTCACCAAACTTACATACTGTACTACCAGAACAGAGGTCTTCTAATAAGCCATTCACTTTAGTAGAATTCAGTTGATTTCAGTTAAGCTGATATTTGAAGGTAAGAAACTTATACAGTTGTTTTAAAGAAACTCATTTGCTATTCTTTTTCCAATGTGAAAAAGAAGTACCTTCATTGGAGAAAAAATCATGCCAAGTGTAGTTTTTTCATATCGCTTTCTGAATACATTTTCATTCTAATTATGCCTATAGTCTTAATATAAAATGTTTCAATGTTACATATTTATGAGTGAAAAGGTTTGTCACCGCCGGCGGCTTGCCTGAGCACCTGGAGCCAGTACAATAAAATGTCAACAAAAAAATTACATTTCACAATATGAATTAATGATGAGGTCTGTTTCCACAAAAGCAGATGTTTAGAAATTACAGGAGACCCCATACTGTTAATAAAGCACAGATTGCAATAACTCCAAATGTATCATATTAACTTAAATAGAACTAAAAATATTACTTTTCTAACTGTAGAAATAAATTGCTATCCATAATCCAAACACCTGTGGAGGAGTGCTGTGCAGTTGATAAGGTCATAAAAACTGAGGTGTGTGTCTAATGTTATGTCCAACCATAATGTTGTGTGTCTCTCCACAGATGTCCTTTGTCCAAACATGAAAGTCCAGGTGGGCCGTTTCCGGCCGAACAGCACCAGTGCTGGACTGACGGAGGTCCCAGGTAATGTTTTCTCTTCTCTATTCTTCCCATAATGCTTTAGTGTCAAAGTGTCATGAAAGCCCCTTCAGCGTCATATCAGTGAACTGTTTGCATCTTAAAATGGTTACATGGTGTCATGAATAGTTACGAGACAGCAATTTCTCATAGCAAAAACAATGTAGTTTCAATCATTACTTGAGCTTACTTTGGTCACTAAATCCATTTGTTATAAATTGTCTTTTTACATGAAACATAATGGATGATACAGTAATATTGTCTACAACTCAAGTTGTAGTGATTCAGATCCTTAAATATACTGCAGTGTTTCTGTTTCATCTTCAGATGTGAGAAAACCAAAACATTTCTTCTTCTCAAGGTTACACAGTTACATGAAAATTATCCCTAGTGTATTTTATTTCAATTAGAGGTCAAAAATAAAGAAAGAAGTGCACTGTATAATGATTCTGACATATGGACTTCCAATCCTGCACTTCAGGGTTTTTTGGAGTCTTTTTTTGTGTGGACGTACGTATTAACAAACTACAAGCCTAGTTTCTATGTGTAAAGTACTTTTGGATCAAAAATAAAGCTTTCTTTTCCCCGAAGGTTGTGCTTTAAAACATAAAACGTTGCAGCGAGACACTGAGGTTTCGAAATAAGAGATCTTTTGCCCTCCTCTGTTCTAAGAAATGTGGAGTTCTTTAGTGATTACACAGATCTGGAGGATGTTGTGTTTGGGTCTTCAGGGGCTTCTGAGTTCCTCTGCGAGACACCGACTCAAATTCATCAACCTAAGTAAAAAAACAGATCGAAACAGAGAGAGAGAGAGTGAGAGCTCTTACCTGTGTAAGTAAATGACTATACAATCTGGAGCTATAGGGGTGTGCACTATAGAAGGTCTTATTTTGGAACTACTATGTACAAAATGCTCAAGAGAACCATTACTCGTAAATCTGATGAGGTTTGGTCATGTTTTAATTGCTCAGTACACAGAAAAAAAGGGTGGCCAAAATTGTACCTTTTGGGGTACAACAGCAGCTTTTCACTGAAGCAGTACCCTTAAAATGACATATTTGTACTTTGTTTTTTTTTGTGTTTTTTTTATTACCCCTATTAGTTACATATTAGTATCTTGGAGAAGTAATACGTACGCTTACTGTACTAATATGTACCTACTATGGGTAAAAAAGGTACAAATATGCCCTTTTAAGGGTACTGCTCCAATGACAAGCTGTTGTACCCCAAAAATCCATTTTGTCTGTGTGAATCTATCTTGAAAAATCCTCAGAGAAGTTGCAACCCTGGGAAATGGAGGTGACTCATGATTTATGCTTTGAAAAAGACAAAGACCTCTTTCTTATTTTTATATCTTTTATGTATGCATTGCTTCAAAACAATGTAAAACTTCTGGAGGTTTCTGAAATGTGGTCCGTTTGACTCTAATTATACTACTTATAATGAGGAAAAGTGCTGTCTTTGGTATTCAGATGAAGTTTAAAGTGTGATCTTTCCATGTCTTAACATTATTTGTGGATCACTGCACTTTCTTCTTCGCTTCTGTCATCTTCAGCTTCGTAGGCTTGACGTTTAAGTGCTTAGATCTGTTTGGTTGCGGTTCTTTTGGATTGCACTGACTAGACTACATCTCTCCTCTTTTGGTGGCTGTAAGTGTTAATTACGGCATCTTGCTCCTGTAATCTGTGATATTCAAGAGAACAACACAAGCTAAATCTTCAGGGAAATTCCAGGTTCACATAAGATGTCACAATTGCTGAAGCTGCCAACATCTGCATGCTGTTCTGAAGTTTGGAACATCACTCTTAACCAAGGCAAGGCCAAAATGGACATAACAGGTTGCTGACTCAAGATTGCTTCTGTAAAGTAACTTAATAATGACAAAAAGCATTTGTAATGAAATTTGACATCATTGTGTCCTTATAAGAAATTAAGTGTAAGTGTATTAATGGGATAGTTCACTAAAAAAAAAGAAAATTCTGTCATTAAATACTCACCTTCATGTTGTTCCAAACCCGTGAGACCTTCGTTCATCTTCGGAAGACAAATTAAGATATTTTTGATGAAATCCGAGAGCTTCCTGACCCTCCATAGACAGCAAGGGTCCTACCACGTTCAAGACCCAGAGAGGTACCAAGAACATCAACAAAACAGTCCAAAATAATCGTGGTACTCTCGATAATGGCAGAAGATGGTAAAAAAAAATGTTGAATAAAGTATTTATTTTATTTTTTTTTTGTGCACAAAAAATATTCTTGTAGCTTCATAAAAATATAGTTGAACCACTGATGTCACATGGACTATTTTGTCGATGTTTTTGGTACCTTTCTGGGCCTTGAACGTGGTAGGACCCTTGCTGTCTATGGAGGGTCAGAAAGCTCTTGGATTTCATCAAAAATATTTTAATTTGTGTTTCGCAGATGAACGAAGGTTTTACAGGTTTGGGGCATGAGGGTGAGTAATTCATGACACAATTTTTATTTTTGGGTGAATATGCCTTTAACTCAATTACATGGTTCATATCATTTAACACAGAGTATTACTAAAGTTTTCCATGTGCGGTCCTTACTACCTTTTCAACATTACATTGAAATTTGAAAGATTCTTCATCAAAAGTGTCTTATTGCATTTTAGGTATATGCCTACTGAGAGTCGAAGCAAAGTCCCTTTCAAGAAGAGTCTGTTCACTCTGAGGCCATATTTGCAATGTGTTCAGGCAGCTAATTTGGGTATTCAAGACCAAGTCTTATCTACTGTACATGAATAGGGAAATCTTGAAATCTAAAATTCAATTAAAGTTTATTTGTATAGCGCTTATTACGATACAAATCGTTGCAAAGCAACTTTACAGAAAATTACGTTTCTACAATATTTAGTAGTAGCTTATCAGTGGTGACTATGTCAGTTAATGTACATATGGCAGAAATGCAAGGAAAAATAAATTAAAGACGTAAATCAATTAAAGACGTTGTTTTAGATTAAACCATTAAGGGTTTAATCTAAAACAAATGCTTGCCACGCTCACATTTAAAAAGCAAAGTTTTTGTTAGATTTTGTTGCTAATTTGAAATATCTCATAAATGTTGTTTCTTAAGCTCAAATGGCATTAAACAAGCATATAGTTCAGGACCAGCCAATGCGCATGTGCAGTCGCAAGCGTGGGGCACTGAACGTTTCGGGCCACTGAAAAATACCTCCCTACAATGTAGTATGAGAAAAACAGTACGCCAAAAGAGTAGTATGACTGAATTCATAGTATTCGAAAAACAGTAGGTGAAGAGACAACCTACCAGACAACCTACTACTTGTGCCGAGATTTTGAAGTGTGCATTCGATAAACACTTTACTATTTTTACACTTTACACTTTACTAAGCGACCCAATTGATACGGGTAGGTCACGTGACAGTAACAACAAGGCAGATGTAGCATGTGCCCATGTTCATACTATATAAAACATACTTTTTAATGGTTACAAAGCAAGTACAAATTTCAAATTGTAGTATCCTACCTACTTAGTATGCGACTTTGGACGCACCGCTTTTCTTTGGAGATATTCCGCAATATTGTGTGTTGCACATTCTTCCATTCATAGTAATATGAGTGCACTCGTCTTGATATATACCATTTTTTTGGTCGAATTCATGACTGGCATTGACAGTGCTGTTTGAGGTACAGGTTTTGCACATGCGCATGGTGAGGCAGCACGTTTTGAGCGGGAGATTTTCAAAAGATCGGCGCATTTCAAAACCTGATATAGGGTACAAAGAAATAGAACGTAAAATTAAGATGTGTTGTTTTTCAGCATCTTAAAAAATCTTATGCCGGTAGATGCTGCAGGGAAAACACCAAGAGATCCTTTTAGCACATGCGTCTGGATCAAAGACAGGCGCTTGAACCACAGAGACGTTTGTCACGCTGACGCACTGTGACCGTGTGTAAAACGCAGTCGTAGAGTTTTCATGCGGCGACATTGGGCTGGTTTCCAGATTGTTGCGTTGTGTGCAGAAGTGCCCATGTGTTCGGATCAAAGACACGAGTCGGAACGCACTCATCTGTGCCGGCCCGCAGAACCCACCCAGCCTTCCTCGCTCTCACTGTTTAAAATAAGACTCGGTCGTGATTATACGCTTTCACTCGCCAGGCCCAAATTACAGGTTCCTCCAGGCTTAGAAACGCTACCGGCAGAGAGTCGTGCATGGCCCATGGAGACGCTGAGACAGACAGAGAGTAGTGGAAATGAGCTGATGAGAAGCGAACAGCTGGAGGAAGAGTAGAACATGGTGTGAAATCAAACAGCTCGAATGAATACATCAAACTGATCAAACCATACTAGTGCACAGAGAACACCTGGATAAATTAGTCTTATTTTTAAGATGATAAACTTTCAGAGGTTCAGAAACTACAAATTAAAGTTTAATGAGGTCACTTGAGTTAATAGCATGTTAAAGTAAAAAAAAAATAAAAATGTTTCCAAACCTTTTTCGAATACAACAAGAAAAAAATAGCAGTTTATTTACTTCTAGTTTGGCATAAAATCTTTTTTTTTAAAGAACAGTATTTATTCTAAATAAAATAAAAATATACACAATAATAATTAGTAACAAAAGTGTGAGCACATTTCTTTTTTTTTTTGAAAGAAATTAATATATAGATGTTAATTTGCTAAAAAAAAAGTAATATTAAAGACTTAAATTGTTACAAAAGATTTCTATTTTGAGTGAATGCTGTTCTTTTAACTTTACATTATTCAAAGAATCTTGAAAAAAGTATCACAGGTTCCACAAAAAAAAAAAAAAAAAAAAAAAAAAAAAAAAATCAGCGTATTAAAATGATATCTGAAGGATCATCTGATACTGAAGACTGTAGTAATGGCTCATGAAAATTCAGCTTTGCCACCACAGGAATAAAGGATATTTTAAAATATATTCAAATAGAAAACTTATTTTAAATTGTAATACTACTATATTACTGTTTTTACTGTATTATTGATCAGCAGCATCATGTGAATGATAAAGCAATTTTAGAACAACACTTTTGCAAATAATTTCTTAATTTCTTTATAAATCATATGAGCTACTTTTGTAATGCTATACATCATCTTTTGTGTTTTAAAGTCATACAGGTTTGGAAAAACATGAGGGTGAGTAAACAGTTTCAATATATAATTGGCCCATTGTTTTAAAATCCTCAACTATTTTTAACTTGAAACAGGGTTAATGGCACAAAAGACCGCAAAAACATTGAGATGTACCGTAACGGCCAAAGATGTCAATTAAAAACTAGCACAGATGGAACGTGAGAATGTGTGATGCTGGTCTGCCAGAAACCATCAGGGATTCGTTGTGCTTTGGGAATGCACAGATGAAAAAACAAAGTGCTTTTGTTGTGTTATGCTGTTTTTTCGACTTCGCTCTTAACACAGTATATGCTTTCTACATTTGTAACCACCTGTTACTCTACTACAGACACAGACACGCACACACCGTCTGGCCTAGACTGGCACGTTCTCACATTACCACCGAGTTAAACAACTCCAAACATCCTTCAGTTCAAATAATAATCATTCTCTCTAGACTGTTTAAAACAACCTCAGCTTCCTGACATGAACACACCTGCCCTAGTAAAACAACATGAGAGTTCATCAAGTGAAAGTGAGATCTCTCTACATGACCCTCACAGGCGTCATATACACAAACCATCAGCGTCATGTAGCCAGAGCTGTTTTGAGACCAGCATTAGTGTGTTTCCAAATCGACCCTTGAATTGCCTCCTCAGGCAACGCCCAGGGCCCCACTGGCTTCGTCATGGCGACAGACTATGTATTGGTTATAGGAGCGCCCTGGTTTGGCCGCTATAATAGGGTGGAAGACTGCTAACCTCAGTAGATACACACACACACACACACACATGCTGGAGATCTAGTGACATAATTGCACATGAAAGGTTGTTTTTTAAAACATCTGGTGCAGCAAGTGCAGTTTAATGAGTGTTGGCTGCGGATCTGAAGCATTAATTAGTGGGCTGCTATCCACACACACAGCATAGCTCTACTATTTTTAAACAAACAATGATGCCATGTTTGATCCCAGAGGCGTGGACTTTTTTCTGTGGATGTGGAAAAAGGTGTGACATTTTGCTCGCAGAAACTTAACGCTGAAATCACAGGTGACCAATTATGCAGTAATTTTGTTCTTTACTTAGATTTATTGCCCTTTCTGTATTACATGAATTTCTGGAATACTTGATTTTGATTGGTGAGTCGTGGCATTTTGTGGTAAAATATTTTAATATAATCAAATAACAATTGTCTATTAAATGTATTTTAATAATTGTATAACTATCTATCTATCTAT